GTGGGGTCGTTCATAAATTTTTTAGCATAGCGCAAGTTACTCATACCCAACTGGACTAGCACAAAAATAAAACTCGATTGTTGTTTTTTGTTAATTCCTGCAATTCCCTTTTTAAATGCACAGTTTTTTGGTATGGGACGTGCCGTAAAATTTGAAAGAGAAATAATCCTTCCAAAGAATATGAGACAAGACGGCCCAGATTACTCGGCGTGCAGTACCACAGTATTTGCATTTTATCTTCCCTGCTTGAATGAAGTCACAAAATTGAAAGCGCATAATACATAATTAAAGTGCAGACGCAACTGTCAAATACCCAACAGACCAAACGCGAAGGGAGATGCATATTCTGTAGGGTGCTATGGAGATAAAATAGTGGGCGGTTACGAGGCAAACTGTGTACTGGTTGAACTCCTGGGTATAGACAAGAATCTTTTCTATTAAGGACCTTTAGCAAATGATGTCACGTTATATTGTTTCATAATAACGGGTGGTTAGAAGGAGGCTTTGAATGTTCCCATTTCTTTTCTTGCCGTCTGTTGTTTCTGTCTGTTTATCTTTGCTTTTTCCCTTCACTAGATGGACATTTTCGTGTAATAGTGCTTCCCTTTACTCAGATTGTGTCCCATGTTCACTTTTAATTAGAGTGGCGTGTCTCGGCCTTTGGTCAAATTTGTCTTCTCGCTGTGATAAAACACCGCTCTCTTATGTATCTAAATGAAAATTTAAAATGCCAAAAAATAAAAACAATTTTTTTAAAACCGATCTTACTCCGAAGTGGTTATTTTGAGGGACTTCTTTCTTAATAAGAAACGACATTTAGTTCGTAGTTACTTTTATTTTCTGAAAACGGAAGATACTATTTTACATAGCGTCAGTCTAATTGGAATTGGACCACTCTCACTTTCATGACCAGAATGTCGTTGTTTTACCCCAGGCATTAGGGTGAACCGAAGCGCAAACGTAAACAAATCATTGTACGAGACATTACGTAACCTTACATACAGGCTTCCTGTCTTGTCAGCTTGTTGAGTTTGTGTCGTTTTATGTATCAAAATTAGTCTTTTTTAAGGACAAACGGGCTAACCCAGATCTTGGGAGTTTCCACAAATCTTGACCTACAACAAAAGTGGGCTTTTCCCTACCTATAGGAGAAGTTTGGTTTCATTGGTGTGTATTTTTGTTTGGTTATAGAGAAAACCCTCCTTGTCTTTTAAAGAAACTGAACAAGGGGCAAAAGCTTTACCTTCGATTTTCTCAAAACAGCATTTTTCGGGATAGACCCCTTGTGCTTAAAAGCGACCAATTGGACTCTTGTGGCGTTGAGCGTGCTCCTCCCCGATCAAAGACTCAACTATACATGTATATATATATATCATGTGGAGTAAACGGTGGCCTGTCCAGTTCTCCTTAATATGTTCATTTCCCTTTCTGAAATGAGAGAACTTTGCCATTGTTGGTGCAATGCGTTGTGCTAAATCAAAACTTATTATAAATCCCACTCCTAGGCGCAAAAGTTCAACAAATACATGTTTCGATAACTGTATTTCCCATAGGTTCTCCAAATAGGTACGCCTGTCTTTAGGGCTGTATTTCCATTGTAACGCTGGGGTAAAATAATATTATATCCGTGACTGAACATGTCTGTTTTCTATGAATCCTAACTATTATCCATTCAGTTCAGTTGCCATCCAGCCGTGCCGCATATCCCAGCACTTTCGAGACATTTACCTTGTGGAGCTTAAAATTGATAAAGAGAAGCCGAGCTGAACTGAGACGACGACCGATTGCTTGCATTTTACGCACTCTTGGGTGCTTTTACTGAATAGTTAGATATTATATTTTCTACTATTTATTCGACCTGCCTTGAATTTTTCATGTAACTTTAATATGGAAGTGTTGTTAGTTTCGTAATCTTGGCTTCCTGGTTGATTTCTTTTACCCGCCATTCAGTTACCTGCTTCTTATAATTCAGGGTGTACTTTTATAGCACTGACATGGAGTGTTTGCTTTGCATGCACAATTTTGTACATGTTCCTTTTTTAGGTAGATTTATTTCTCCCATTTTTGTTCAACGCCTACTTTCTTTTTTGCCTCTCTCAACACTTTTTCACTACTTTACTCTTTTTTATGTCTCTCTTTGTTATCATTTTTTTCTGGATGTGTATGTGTGCATGTCTGTCTGCCTCCCTATCCTTCCCCTCTCTTTCTCCTTCCCCTCCCCCCCCCTCTCTCTCTCTCTCTCTCTCTCTCTCTCTCTCTCTCTCTCTCTCTCTCTCTCTATCTATCTCTCTAGCTATCTAGCTATCTATCTATCTCTCTGCCTGTTTCTGTTCTTTCTCTCTCTCTCGCTCTCTATCAATCAACTTAAGATTTGTAGCGAGACTTTGACACTTCAAGAATTGTAGATTTGTCATGTTGACCTGTCTTTATCTCCTCACTCACTCAACGAGTCCTGCCTGAGATTGCAAATGTATTGTACGGCACATGCGTGAGTGTTGGCGTTGCGTACACCGTTTTTCTCACATTTTCCTCTGGAATATTATGATACTGTATTGTACTGTAATGTTCGCCTTCATTGACGTTTCCCTTTTCCTGATGTAAATGATGATAACAATAATGATAAATAGCCTTTAATAGCGATAATCCCGTTAGGAAACCAGCTCTGAATGAAGTGCGATCATTAAAAGTAGACAGTAAACAAACACACAAAAATACGAGGGTGTTTGTAGGGTGCCACTGGTAGGTCCTACTTCTTACCTTTCCCTCTGATTTATGTGTATCGGTTTCGTCTCTTCCATGCTCTATAATAATATGACCAGCATTGTGGCGATGTGTTCCTCTTTAAGTAAAACTCACCCCCCCCCCCCCCTTTTCCCCAATTCTTCAGCATCGTTTTTTTTTTTTTTTGTTCTTATTTTAACCTGTATAGTGTGAAGTGCTTATCAGCTTTCTTTCCCCGCTTGTACATCCAATTCGTTTTACTCCTTCCCATCCTTCCTGTCTACTTCTTCTGTAATCTCGGGTCTCGTTCTTCCTTCTCCCCCCCCCCCCCTCAATCTCTCTCTCTCTCTCTCTCTCTCTCTCTCTCTCTCTCTCTCTCTCTCTCCCCTCTCTCTCTCCCTCTCTCGCTCTCTCTCTCTCTCTCTCTCTCTCTCTATCTCTCTCTCTCGCTACCTCTCTATCTATCTCTCTCTCTCTCTTCTCTTTCTCTGCCTTCCCTTTGCTTGTATTTCCCGTTGCTCTATGTCTTAATCTATTGTGATCCGCAAAAGGCTACGGGTTTTTTTTTTGTCTTTTTGTTTGCTTTATTTCGTTTCTTTTCCAGGCGAAATAGAGTTCATCTGTTAAATATAAGAGTACAGTGTCTCATAATATGGCTCTGCGAACACACAACCCGTGTTGTTTAATTAAGCAATTAGGAGTGTTTTCCCCATTATGAAAAATATTCACTTATTATATTGTTTAATTCTTATCTCCAGGCTCACTTTGTAAGTAAACCTTTAGAAACATTTTCTTGGTCGTTTCTAAAATGTTGTATTGTTTATAGGTATGTCTGCACCCATAGTAACCCCAACCTTTCGACCTGGGATAAAGTTAACTATTCAACTCGCTAATACTGTTTGGTAGCTGTTTAACTGATTTACCCCCAATGTGCCGTGACCCTACTCTGTTCTTCTAATTTTCGTATTATCTGTTTTTTGCAAGAAGTAGCTGTGTTTTTATGTTCATCCTTGTCTTTTTTTATGGTCGCCTGTTTTTTGGCTGTACTGCAATTATGCTTGTTACTGCCGCCCCCCCCCCCCCCCCCAAAAAAAAACCCAACACTTTTTATTGTTCTGCTTCCCTCAATCCCCGTCTCACTTCCATGTTCCACGTACCACACACATTATGTAGATCTAGATGAACAAATAAAAGTTGTTTGGATTGGAAAAGAAAAATGGCGTGGCGACAATATTAGAAGTCCAAATAGCAATAATAATAGATAGCATTTGTATAGCGCATATCCCCACTCAACAGCAGGCTCTATGCGCTTTACACTATATTATTACCCCAGCAGACCATAGAACACTCCGAAACATTCTCAGCTTCCCGGGAAGCATACAGTGCGAGTAGCAATAGCTACTACAGCAGTTTGCACTTCGAGAGGCAGCAATGTGTGATGACTCTTCGAGCAATAACTGACTTTTGGGGTGAACGCTCAGTGTTAAGTAAACTGTCACTGTTTGATGTTTATATCATAATAAGGCCCATGGTCAGTCTATACCTCTGATTTGTGGCTCTATATTCATTCTTTCAACGTTTTTGATTGCTTTGGCATGGAGCGTGCTTCTTGTTTTCTATATACTATTCAGTCTGCCAGTATTTCTACGTTTTTCTTTGCATTCATTCTTGAATACCAACATTGATAAGTAAGGAAAAATAAAAGTAATTTGGTTAGGCCCCTTAAAAAAAATAAAAATGGTTTGGATCCAAGGTACAGACCTTAGGTAATTTCTTATTTACTTTCTGGTTTTCTGGTGCAATTATGTAGTGAGATTTTTTTTGTGTTGTTTATTGTTGTTTGTTTGTTGGGATTGTTTGTTTTTTTAAAAAGGATCTGGCATTGTTCTCTGACACAGAGGATAGATGTAGTTTGAGATAACCAACCCTGATATAAACCTTTACCAGTTTGCTAATCATCTTAGTGATATTGACTTCTTAACAGCTCTGTTGTCGAAGGTTCACTTGGCATTTGTCCTAACGATTGAGTTTCCTCTTTCTGTTAATCAACCCACTCTATACATATCTCCTGTAATGCAGTGTCTTTTTGTTACAGTGGTTAAAGTGATAGTGTCAAGACTTCGGTATTTGTTATTTAGAACAAGACAAACAATGTTTTTGTTATATTTTGGCCATGTGCACGTAACACACATTTACATAGGTGGGTCAAAGAGGTCATAATTGATGTCCATCATTTTTAGCACTTGGAGTTTCTGTCCTTTTTTAACGGTTATCTAAGTGTATTCGGCCATTCGCCACTGCCTCTTATGGTTTACAAATTGCAAACATACTTATTTAAGCCAGCATAACCACACAATACTATTATTCATACAGCAAGCAGGTCTTTCATTGTCTTGTACGTCAGAAGTACTCTGGTTATTATTTTTTGTTATTTATTTATTTTTTCAAATTCTGTTGAAAGTTTTCTTTAAAGATCATGATAATTTAATATTTCGATTTTCCTCCTTTGAAGGTTTGACGAAATGGCTGCTTTTTGAAAATGGCTTCCAGTTGGATATATGATGGTGAGACATCCAATTTGTATTTCCTAATCTCCAAGCTGCTTTTCTATCCTCTGTGGTATGAGTATGCATGTGCTATGTTTTATTTGTCTGTTTGTATGTTAATGGGATGTGTTTGATGTGTCTGTGTCTTTGACCTATGTTTGTTGTTGAGATTTAAGAACAGGCATGATGTACCATAAGTCAGGGCAAAGCGGTATTAGCCTTTGGGCTTTATAAGTATGCATGCGTATACACAGACAATGCATGACTGCATCTTTTTTATGTTTGGAGGTATGCTATTGGTGGGTGATACTCTGCTCTCTGCCTTTCCTCTTCGCTTCAATGGTACTGTTTGATCTAATCTTATTTACTCCTGATGTGTCTCTGTTTCTTTGTCTCGTTATAAACTACAAATCATGCAGAAGCAACTCATGTGCTGTATCCATTTCTCCGATTGCACCTAATGTGTTTATTTTTCGTATTTTGTATGAGCGTTTGTACGTTTAAGTTTATATTTTGCTTGTGTCAGCCAGTCCGCGTGCTCTGTACGTTTGCATGCATGTGTGTGCTTTCTCTTGACTTGCCGTTGTGCTGTTTCGAATTGGTTGGTTCGTTGCAAACCTGTTGACACGGAATCTTTAAGATTGGGGGATTTTACTACTACCCCTTCTCAATCCCTACGGACAAGCAACTTTATAAAATGCTATTCACATTAATCTATGGTCCAGGTTGATGTTACTTTCGATATATTGCTTAATGCATTCGGTGTCGATACAAAGACATGATGCTGCTTGTGCTCAAAGCTGTACTCAAATAGCCATATTAATATAATATTCTTTTTGAAACGTGTCTAAAATGGAGGCTAGGAAGCAGGGACTTTGTTTATTTGTGCATGCATTAGTTTACTTCCAAATGCACATAGAAGGAGATGAGAGAGAGAGAGAGAGAGAGAGAGAGAGAGAGAGAGAGAGAGAGAGAGAGAGAAAGAAGGAGAGAGCCAGCAAGAATGATTGCGTTTGCGCCCGTGCGTGTGTTTGTGTATGTGTGTTTATATGTGTGCGTGTATGTGTGTGTGTGTATGTGCGTGTGTGTGTGTGTGTGTGTGTGTGTGTGTGTGTGTGAGAGAGAGAGAGAGAGAGAGAGAGAGCGAGAGAGAGAGAGAGAGGGGAGGAGGGGGTGTGTTTAAAGAAAGTTGATTTTCAGTTGGTAGGACAATTTGAATTTTGCCCAGGTGGCGGCCGAAGCCTACCCTTCTCGATTTTAGATCACCAAGGGATCTTTAATGTGCGCATCTTGCGCACAGGACCCCGAGATTTTCACCCTTATCCGAGAAGGCTAGGTGTAGATCTTTCCTGACAGAAGATCAGGGGTGTGGCTGAAAGACAGCAGTAAGAAGGAGCTAAGGAGTAGCAGTAGAAAACCTGCAGAAAGAGTCAGGAGCCCAGAGGGGGGGGGGGCAAAAGAGGTGAGGGGGTGGGGGCAGGAAGAGAAGACGAATGCAGACGACAGAACATTGCTGGAGAGCAGGAAAGGGGGTGAAAGGAGACTATTTTAGAGAAAAAATGTTTCGGTCGCTACCTGGATTCGAACCCGGGGCCTTTGAATGAGAGGCCAACACCTTAACCCTCAGGCCACGAAAGCCCATATGTATGTATGTATGTATGTATGTATGTATGTATGTATGTATGTATGTATGTATGTATGTATGTATGTATGTATAATATTTGTATGTGTATGTATGTATATGTATGTATGTATGTATGTATGTATGTATGTATGTATGTATGTTTGTATGTACGTATGTATGTATGTATGTATGTAATTTCATATAGGGTTTCTGCAAGTTTAAAGTGTTGTTATTCTAAAATTCATTTTTATGATATGGTAAAACGAAAAGTGGAGTGAGGTAACCTTGACTCAAACTGCTATACAGGACAGTGGCCATTAATAGTATCGAGTAGCTTTGGGAATTGAGACTGATCAAGAGCAGAGAGCGTCAAATGAAAGGAAAGACGTGTTCACGTGATAGCAAATATATAGAGAGAAGGAGGATGATATGGAGAAGGAGACTGTCTTACAGAAAGAAAGAAAGACCGGAAAGAGAGGGCGAGAGAGAGAGAGAGAGAGAGAGAGAGAGAGACAGATAGAGAATGAGAGAGAGAGAGAGAGAGAGCTGGGGTGAGTGAGAGAGACTGACGGATAGACGGACAGATTTACAGACTATTCTTGTGTTTTTCCGTTGCTGACCCTACTGGTTCAGGTCTCTCTATTACCTTGAGAATTTGTGGAAATGGGGCAGAATTTACCCCTTTGGATCTGATGCCACTATTAGTTTGGGTTTTTTTTTCTTCAGTAAGGACAGAGTACACGTTTCCAAAGCTTCTCCCCATACTACGGCTAATAGACGATCCATTTGAGTGATGTCTCGAGAGGAATGATTCTATTATTGAATGTGTCAAGTTTGTGCGTGTGGGACAGAAGGAATCTCGAACTTTTAGATGGAAAGTACTAGTTGCCACTGCTCGAGAGAGGATGGTTTTGTTTCTGACTGTGACATGATTTTTTTTATTGGTGAACTCACTGACACCCGCGATTCTCACCCTGGAGACGTCTTAAGTTTATGGCACTCACCGTGTAGGCTTAAAGTCAGACATAGGAGGCGAAAGAGGAATTAGCCCATAAAAAAACATTTGTCCTCCAAATCTATTTTTGAGATAAAAAATTTTTTAAACGAAAACAATGTCATTTACTTAAAACTTATAACGCACGCTTATTCACAAAAAGGCTGGTTTAATAGTAAATGTATTGGAACCTTTTGTATTTTGTATAAAGATTGTATTACGATAAAAGCCATATACGCGCAATGGTGTAGAGTTTAACCATTGCACCATAGTCCTTGGTTCTAACATTTGAACAACTCAGATGCCCTCGGCCTGGCTTCTTTCGTCTCATTCCGTTTCGTTTTTAGTCCCAGGCACTTTGGGATTGGCTCGATTATGACTTGGACGTCAAAAACATACAAACCCAACAATAAAATTATTAGCCAAACGCGTAAGAGGTTTAGTAACAAGGAGGTTGTTTTTTAGCTTTTCATTTTTTTTTTACTTATCTAAATGTCGTCCACATTCGTATCGTGGAATTTTATCAGAAGCTTATCTTCTCGCTAAGATGCTTACCGAGTTTTCATCGTATCGTATAGTGAGTTTTACATTCTTGACAGATGTGCGATATGTCCGTATTTACGGCTGTCTTTTTGTCTTTTTCTTCGGATATTGCTGTCCTCGTTCCCTCTGCCCCTATTCTTTCCTTCATTTTGTCTTAAGTCCAGTTACTGCTATGTCTAGAATACACGCAACTAAATATTTTGACCATTTTATACCTCATTTTCAACACGGTGGCTTTTAGCGCAATATTTATTACTTTTACGCACTGTACCTTAATCCCGTTATAATGCAGCTCAAGCATGGTCTTACGCTCACCTAATAAAGATAGCCTCAACAGGATACAGCCATTTAAAGTTGAAAGTTTGGATGTCTTGTAAGAAGTAGATTGTAAATTGCCATAACATTTGGTCACACAACAATTTACCTCTCCATCCGCATTGTTTGGCAGGTGCCAGCAACTGAGTATGTCTAAATTGAAAGTACCCATATCAAACGAAAGATCATGCAACTTGTTCCGCAGTTTAGGTGCCTAAAAATTGTAATATTATAATATGTACTAACATTTCGCTCGACGTAACAAACAAACCAAACAATTTATTTAGTTCTTTGTCACCTGTTCTGGATTTTCTGTAACGATAAGATTAGTGCCTCTGTTTGCGTGCGTAGATGTGCCTACTTACAGCAGCTGGGTTTTTTTAAATAATAATATTTGGTTGCTTTTTATGTATGTGTATCCTGTATCATGGCCACTTGAGAAAGGGTAAACGTGTATTTCCTATCTCAGCAATTCTTTCACTTGACTGGACATTGGAATTCTATGCCTGTCGCGCATGATGTTTTCCGAATTTCCAGAGAGTGTGAAATTGGCTTGTGGATTATTTAGGGTAAATATGGACTGTAGCAGTTGTAACTGTATTTCATTGACTGTTTATAAGCGTTTGCGCACGAGCGTATTATGAGCCCCCCCCCCCCCCTTTAAGACAAGTTGATACAAGTC